TTCATGGATATATCTGTTGGAATAAAAAAAGTAGTATGACATAGAAAACAAAAGAATTGAAAAAGACTTTCCATTTGTATTTAAGCCTCTTCTTGGAGGGGAAGCAAAAGAAAACGTCCTGCATATTATGTGGCAAAATCTTGATAGTCAAACTGTGTGCATCTTTGTTCAAAATGGGACTAGATACGTCATTTAGCAACTTGACTATTTTAGTTGATTTTTTAATTTTTTTATGAAATGAAAAAGAATTATGTTTTGGATGATTTGTGGGATTTTTTTTTTTTGTAGGTGAATAGATAATTGTAAAAGAAAAAGTTGTTGATTAATGTATGCGACATGAAATTTTGTTTTATTAACTATTTTTTTCTATTGACTATTTAGCCAAAATATAAGTCCCAAATAGGCCTAAAAAGAAAAGAGAAATAATCAGTTATCTTTTTATTTTGATCATTCATGTTTCAAGTTTTTTTCTAATTTACTCCTAAAACTAACTTTTGTTCAAAATTAGATAGAAAATGCATGTTACCTGCCACATGATATAAAAAATATATAATTATATGGGTTTGAGTAAAAAATATATTATTATATGGGTTTGATCCCCAATCCACGAAGCTCCACTTCTCGATCAATGACTTCCTCTACAACATCTCAGCTATTAGGCATTGTCTCAATGAAAGGTAGACAAAAAGTGAGCTACAATTGCAATTTAGCATCTCTTAGGTCCACATAGGCTAACACACAAAAGGGTGCTCAGTGAAGTTTAATGATTTGGTTTAGATTTGGGGGTTCAGTGATTGGGGATTCCAGTAAGCTACTGCTGATATGTTCCATTTTGATAGTGAAGTTTAATCTGTTCTAGTCTGTTTTTTATTTGTACATTTGCTCTATGGCTGGTGAATGGTTAATCTGGGCTATGGATGGTTAATCTGGGCTGGTTTTGCATATCTGCTCTATGGGTGGTTAATCTGGGCTGGTTTTGTTCTGAGTTTGCATGCTGCTAGTGTATAGTCCCTATTTGTGCTTGTTCTGGTCTGCTAGTGTATAGTCCCTTTCTGTGCTTGTTTTGGGTTGGTTCTCATCTGAGTTTGCACGCTGCTGGTCTGTTATTGATATGCTTTGATATACTCTGAGTTTGCATGCTGCTGGTCTGTTCTTCATTTGCTCTGTAGCTTGTTCTGCAGCAGCTTCGTGTATCTAATTTTGGACATGAATTACCTTTTGGAATAAATTAAGAAAAACATGAAATATGAAAGGTGAAAGTGAAAAAATGGCCAAACATAAAAGGGCAAACTGTAAATTACCCTTCAGTTTATATGTGGTTCATGCCACATTGTGGGACTGTTTTGTATGGTTTATATGAGTTGTTTATAGTTATTTATTATTTTCAGAGTCAATTTAAACTATTTTGTGTAGTTTCTGTTTATAGTTTATTAGGTAAGAATAGTTTAAGAGCAATGCTACGTCTATTTAAAGTCTTGCTAACAATATTACTAAAAACATATATGTTCAAATATCATTGGATGATTAATATCATTAATTTTTTAACAACCAATCACATTTGGCCTATTATATTTTTGGTAAGATTTTTAGTAAGTTTGTAGTATAGCAATTTATGGGCCATTCTTAGTTTCTTGGTTATGGATGTTCTGTTGATTGGTTATGGATGTCTGCTGGATGTTTTGCTGGTGTGGCTCTGCTGTACATTGCTGTTGCTGTTGTGCTCTTAGGTTGCAGGGCAATTTTGCTGTGCTCTTAGGCTACTACTGCTTGTTTGTTAAATTGGGTGAGCTGGTTGCTGTAAGTCTATTGCAAAATTTTTCAAAAAATTTGTTAATGGTACCCAACTGTTGGAGCATGTTTAGTGATGTAATTTCATGCACATACACCATGCACCTACACACTCAACACTCAGACACACAATGTTATCCCTTTCTAAACACAAATTCAATTATTGATTTTTGGTGTTGTCCATGAATCATGACATGTTTAAACTTTTGAAGAAAAAGTTGGACTTATCATACATGCCCACAGTGGTTAGTTTCCTCCATTACCTAGTGATCTTACTTATTTTAGCAACTCTTATGGCTTGGTATATTCTTCCCCTTGGCCTCCTACTCGTTGGAGGCACTTGGTATATTCTGGTCGACTTGATTTCTGCAGATGTGCGTTTCAACTACTAATTAAGATATACTTTCATATTTTTGGAAATGAATAAAAACCTTAACTACAAGAACTCTTATAGGACTTCAGTTCAAAAACAAAGAAAGCTGATGGCACCTTTTAAATGTAAAGATATAAACCTCAGGGTAGACTATATTGACTTAAACTTCAGTTGCATCCCATTCACCCTTCATAAACTTTTCTGTTTGTTTTATGACATGTACCAAATGCTAAAAATGTAGATTAATGAAGGCTGCTAAAATTTTATTCAAATATGCTCAATACTGCTTCGCAGTTGCATAACCATGAAACTTCATAGCAACTTAAATCCATCATCTATTTGATTAAATTATATTAAGGGAGTCATAAAAAGTATATATATGTGTTTAAAATAAATTAAATTAAAAAAAGGTGCTACTTATTCTGTTCATTAAATGCATAACATGCATGACGTAGGTGCTGTATTATCACTTGTTAGTTCTACAGATTATGAGTTTTATTATATTGATAAGCTATATATTTATTTTTGTACGAAAGCGTTAACAAAGATGTAATCCATTTGCTCATACTTCTGTGCACTATAGCCGACTTTGTCAAAAGAAGATAAATTAAGTAAAATTTAAAAAATATAACTCCAGATTCAACTATAAAAATTGCAATTTTATATCAGTGATGTTCACTACTATACCACTTAATAGGTGCAACATGAATACAAAGATACAACCACACAAACGTACAACTATTCATTATTTGCAATTTTATTCCAATGAAAATGTTGACTACCATTACACTCAATAGTTGTATTTGTAACATGATTACAGAGATACAACTGTAGAAAGACACAATATCAAGAAAACACTAATTATTTGGTCATTAAACATGAAGGCGAATGGAAAGATCACAGTACAATTTTGAATGGCTAAAGCTATATCATGGATAAGCTAAGAAAATATACATCATCAATTCTTGAGGAGCAACTTGAGCTCCTAAAAATTTATACAAAAACATATGCTACTTACTTTCATCAGGAAAATCAAAATATTCTAAGGAATACTTCCCTCTGCTGCACCTAATTTCTTTTATCTGAAAGAATATATAGATATGGTGTAAGTGCACATAAAACTCTTCCACTCAAAGATCAATAGAAGAAAGGATGAAGTTTCTCCAAATTCTAAATACAAGCCAAGATATAATTCTGGTCAATGTTACATGGACCCTTCAATTCTCCCTAGTGTACCTGTGTCCACACTATGTGACAAGGACAAGGGTGTGGGAGCGTCCAACCCCATAACCAAATTAGATACTTGGAAGAAGAAGCAGCAGCAGCTTACATTTGATAATAAACTACTAATAATTGTCATCTCACCCAAGTGGGAGAGATAAATTCCCTTTGTCCCCTAAATCTCACTTAATTTCCAGTACATTATCACATAAAAACATCTTATGCCATAACATTATATACTACACAATATACTTAAATGTTCGAGACATGTCTATATCAATAGAAGGTTATAAAAAGAGCATCAAATCTAAATGTAGTGCTCAATGATAACTTGCATCGGAACCATGCACCACGGTACCCTGGCAGGAAAGATATTGACTCAGCCAATTGTCCAACTTTAAAAGGCAGCAGATCTTGCTTGTCAATGATGTTTCATCAGACTATATACTGCACCATAGGTGTCAGCTTTTAAAAGCAACATCGCAAAAAGGAATTCAATGGATTATGATTCAAGAATATAACAGTAATCAGTTAAATGAAGACCAACACAACAATTCACTCCTTTTCCTAAATGCAAGTAATTTATACTTGTCAATGGAATTGAATATCATCTTTAAATTAATAGTTCCTTATGAAATTTGAAGGGGGGGGGGAACGCTGGAACTAGAGAATATAAGTTTAGTGATGTAATTTCATGCACATGCACCATGCACCTACACACTCGACACTCAGACACACAATGTTATCCCTCTCTAAACACAAATTCAATTATTGATTTTTGGTGTTGTCCATGAATCATGACGTGTTTAAACTTTTGAAGAAAAAGTTGGACTTATCATACTTATCATAAATCTGTGTGTGTGTTTCTGACAAGGATGATCTTTGCAAGGGTAAAGTAAACAGCTGATTGAGGGAATGCATTATAGTTTGTCTTGTTTGTTATTTTAAATATTCTATATCTTAGCAATATTCTTAATACATTTAATTTACAGATTTCTTTGATTGGTTACTGGCTACCATATCTTAGCTTGGAACCTTGCCTAAAGACTTTTTGTTCAGACTAATAACCTTTTGATTCAGTTGCTTAATTATTTTGCTAGCTAGGTCCAAATGAACCTTGGTAATACTTGTATGATTATATCAGTTTCTCACTTTCTCTAGCTTGTTCTGTTCGCAGATTCTTAATTTAAATAATCTCCTTTTGATTTTTGGACCAAAGTCACTTCTACTCACTTTTCTGTCTATTAAATTTTACATGTTTCCTTATGCAGAATCTATTCCAATCATGATCCACATAGATTAGGTGAATGGTTGTATTTTTTGTACTATGCAGATGGCATTTTGTGTCCTAAAACATATGCAGGCTCATTGGTATAAAAAAAGTGTGACAAGATTGATGAGATTCACAAAGCCCCAATCATTCAAGCAGTTCGGATACATGTATTTATTACTTTTCAGATAATTAGATTATCACCATTACTTGCATTTTGATATTACTAAAAGCATTCATTATATTTGTAGGATAAATTTGGGATTGTTGATTGTGATGAGGATGAAGAGGTTCAGAAAGGAGTCAATAAAAAGTGTAAAACTCTTTACAAAAGTTGGCGTAACAAGATGAAGACTCATTACTCGAAGTTGGTAGACACTGGTGTTGACCCTCATAGTAAACCATACAAAGGGGTCGATTATGAGGCTTGGGTATACATGATCGATCATGTATGGCTTGATGGCGATTATCAGGTAAAATTTCCTGATTTAGAGAATCATGTTGTAATTTCAATTTAATTTTACTAATCAATTAATTTTGCAGAACTTGGCTAAAAAAACAAGGGATAGTCGAGCGAGGTTACCATATAATCATACAATGGGCTCCAAGTCATTTCAAGCTGCAATGTATAAACAGGTGATGCTTTTATTATATCTAACATAATGATTGAAATTAATTATGTATGCTTACTTTTAAATGGAATTAGGGTACCGAGAAGACTGACTTTGTAGACTTCTACAAAGATTCCCATTGGAGCAAGAGAAAATCGGATTAGGTAGCCCCAATATGTGGTCAATTACATGTAAGTATGCCAATTAATAGAGATACTTAAAAGGCTTTGGAGTTGGTCCAAAACCATCATCATCCAGATCTTCTGTTACTGCACAAGCACATACTGAGGTGGTTTCGAGCCTACAAAAAGAACTAGAGTCATTGAAGAATTGTCCAAGGTCCAACAAGAACAAATTAGATTATTCATCAGAGGAATCTTATTGACAAACACTTTTGTAAGTATATTTCATAATTTACTGTTCAAATCATTACAAGCATTTCATTTAATATGTCTAGTTGTGTTAAACAAACGGGACCTCGATTGGATCTCCGGTTAGAAAATTAGAAGGAAAATTGTAAAACACAGATAATATAAAATCTAATGAATGTAGTGGTGCGCCATTTTTGGGGAACGGAATATATCAAGGGGCTATATGATGCTACGAGGAAGTTGCTATCATTTTGTGGTATTTTTTGGAGGATTTCAGCGTGTTGCTTGTTCGTTTCAGATGGTTCCTATTGGTAACCAATTTCTTCCTTGTTTAATTTTATGAAGATTGTATTGGGTGTTTAGGTACAGCAGACCTGATCGAGTATTTCTCATGGAGAAAATGGAGATTCTACCTAAGGTTTCACTAAACTAGGGGGGCTGATTTGAAGAAAATTCCAAATATGTTTGAAGTAATGATTGAGATTTGGCAAGTTGCAGGGTTAAATCTCCAAAGAGATAACTAAAATTTTATGGTCTTTAATTTGGCATTGTAATTCAAATTTTGATCCATCTGTTGTTTCTTTTTATATTTAATTATAGTTAATTCACAATCTCTGTTCCTAGTTATAAATTATATAAATTGTCAGTTAATTTTCAATTTCTATACCTAGTGAGATTCTCAATTAATTGGGCTGTGTTCTTTAAAAAATGACTTTTTTGAAAAAATGCACTAAATGATGTCAACATGACATCACATCTGCACAAGTACTAAAAATGAGAAAGGTGGCGTTTTTCAGAAAAAACGTACTGATGACATCATCATTACATCATTAACGGAAAGTAAGTGGCTGTCAAAGATTTTGCGACGTTTTAAAAAACGTCGTCTTATGTTTTTTTAGCGACGCTATTTGAACGTTGCTAAGCTATTGCGGCGGCCGTATCTCAGGATGAAAATATTAAACGTTGCAAAATCCTATTGTGGCGTTTTTCAGCCTATAGCGGCGTTTTTGAAACACTGTAAAAGCAAATTCTTGTAGTGTTTGTTGGAATAATCTTTTGTGTAAAGAAATGAAACTAAAATAACAAAAATAAATACTTACAGAAATATTCTTGTCTCAGAAATTAGAATAGCAAACTTTTGATCAAGTCGAGTGTGTGACACTCTATTCTTAAAACAGATTTGTCGCGCACAGGTGCTCACGTTTATCGATGTCTATCTCCCAAGATACAATAATCACTCTCACAGATTGTAGTAGCACTACAACAATCTGTCTTGTGAACCAAACCTAAATTCTGCAACTCTCTGAAAATTCTATAAACTAATTATGAAGAGTAAATGCAGAAGGAAAGGAAAACGGAAAAGAATTGGACATCTGAAATTGCTAGAAAAGGTCTGTATTTATAGGGCATTGTGGTGTCTGCTCGGAAGGGCAAAAACCCTCCGACATGTGTGAAATACTGAACCGCCGAAAAGAAAGAGAGACGGACCGTGAGAAGGCAATGGTTTGAAGCAAAATTTGAATATCAATTTTGGTGCAATGTTTGAAACAATCTGTTAAGAATTCAAATTTTCCAGCAAGAATTTGAAAAAATTCAAATAAATTTTGTCCAAAAAATAAAGTTAGGACTTGACCCACCACTACATCCGTCGAACGGACGCGGCGCGAACGCGTGTGTGTGGGTTATTGAGCCAAGCCCACTATAGTCCATAACTCCCTTCCGGGGAATTCTAATTACACCCAAAAATATTTTAAGTGAGCCAATTTTTTTGTACACCCTATTAAATTATTTAAGGTTTCAATTTATTCGTAATACACTTTTTTTTTTTCTCCCTAAATTACCCTTTTGAAGTACACTCAAATAAATAACTTAAAAATTCAAATTAGTTTTGAAAAAACTTTTCTTTTGAGCTTAGGATTAGTGACTTGTTTTGTTATTAATCTAGTACACATTTTTTTTTTTCCATATAACCAACGTAATGGATATTAGTCGAATCAGACAAAATTAAAGCTTGATTTGATATATATATATAATATATATATACATATAAGTTCATTATATTCTATGAAGCACAGGTATGGGTACGAGTACGGGTACTGGTACGATACGGGTATGTCGATACGGTAAAATCAAAAAAAGTAGGGTACGGGTAAGTCTTGGTATGACTTATAAAAAAGATTATTTTTAATTTAAAGTAATGCAAAAATTATTAAATAGTTTAATTGTTAAGATCCAACCTAATTAAATTTAATGTCAAAAAGTAAATGTATAAATGAAAATTAAATGTCAATATACAAATAACTTGCAAACCATAATTTAATTTTAAAATCATGCAAAGTATAAAACTAAACTAAAAAGAAGTTTAGTGAAAGAGTTTTATGTCCGTGTAGTAGAAAAAAATATTGTTTCAAAGTATGGAATGGTAATGTCTTGAGTGTATATTAAGTACGTTTAGGTACGTTAAAATTAAGAAGAAAAATTTGCGTAACGTGTTTGTGTACTTAGTACGTATGTAGAAGTACCATACAAGCTACCATACGCCGGTAAGTAACCGGTATGCGTATGGCATATTTTTCGCATTACCATACTTCAGAGATTGTATTTAACCTAGTTTGCATAATAATACACTAAAAGATTGCAATTTTACACTAATGGCATGATTGGACTGGTAATCCACATGATTAGAGAAAACAAAATTAATGATTAGTAAATAAGAAACATAAACACAAATTTAGGGTTTGATTATATAATTGAAATAAGTGAAATTTGAAACTTGAGTTTGATAAGCGAAGACCATATTATATATACTGAGATATACTTATATATAATCAAATGTTCTTTTGAAAGCTGCAGGGATTTTTTTTTTTTTTAACAATAACTGTCAAGCAATCTACATACGCAACTGGGAATATGAGGACTGACTTTGGGAGGCGATATTATTTCGAGAACAAAGCAAACTGCTTAGTGAAAGGTTGTGCAGTTTTGTAAGTGCAACCATAATATAATAAAAATAATGATATTAATAATAATGGTGTGTTTTGGTGGGTGAAATTTTTGGAATGAGAAAGAAGAATGAAAGAAAATAATTGAAACTTGAGAAGAAGAAGAAGAAGAAGAAGAAGAGAAGGAGATTAAATAGGAAGACATAAAATTGATTTAGGGTATATCATGAGAAAAAAATAATATTTATTTTAATATTTATTATTTAATGTCTTTATTATGTAATCATCATCAGATATAATAGGATTAAAAATTTAAACTTTAAGTTGGACCCAAAGTATGTGTAAATTCATATATATAATAGGAATTAAAATTTAAAATTAAGTGGACCAAGTATGTCTACCTAAGAGTTTATTACTTTACACAACTCTTTGAATTTCAATGTGGGATAACCAATATAAGGAAGCCCACAATTGACTCTTCAATTTTCTATTTCACGACCAAAACGTATCAACTTTCCATTCACTCATAAATGGTTTGACGAACTGTCTTCACCGTGTGACTTGCAATGCGGTAAGGAACACGTCACCACTTGGAACCACCCCAAATACGTGTGGCTTAATTAAATTTGAACTCAAGTTGGCCCAAAATAAACCTATAAAATCATAATTTTCAACATGTTTACACCACAAATTATGATATTTGCATATAGTACGCACTCTAAAAGAGGTGAATATTGCAGAAGAATCTTATCAGTTAATATTAATAATAATTTGATTCACAAATTAATTTTTAAGTTAGTTTTATTTTTTATTTTTATTTTTGGTGCATATATTATTTTGAAAACTTATCCAAGATAATGTTTGAGTTTTAGAAGTTTGCTTCAAAGGTCAAATGATGTAAACCTGTGAAATTATTAAACACAATGCCAAAAATACCGGTATGAGGCCATCGTAGTGAAAGGGTGCCGTTCATAATTTGTGATTTGTTTGGGTAATTTAAATTATTCATTTTGAGTGAATTTATTGGCACTTATTTATTTATTTTGTATAGTTTTATGACACTACAACAAAAAACACATTTGGCAACCCAAAATGTTCGCAAAGTACAAATTGCCATCGCCAAAAGAAATCGGCGACATAATATACATTGCGCAAAGGCCTGTCACTAAAAGTTGGCGACGAAATCAGAAATGGTCACCATAGGTAGACATTTAGCGACAAGCAAAATTGGTCGCCAAAATCATATATTTTATCGCTATAAAATTAACAATTTGTTGCTAAAAGGTTAAAATTTGGATAGACTATGTAGTTTTAACGACAAATAAATGCGTCGCCAAAAGTACTATTTCAAAACAACATTAATTGGTCGCTAAAAATCGCGTTTTTAGCGACGAGTAAGTTTTTTGATTGCTAAAAGTTATTGATAACCCTAACTTTTAGCGACAAAAACAATATGTTGTCACAAATATATTAACAGGCGACCAAAATACCACCAGTCACTAAAAATTCAGTACACAATTTTGATTTAATAATTTTCCCTGTTCAAAATAATCCAAAACACCTGTTTTCCTGTGCACAATATATACACAAATGTAATGTAAATAATAACACTGTGCAAGACCTTCATACTAATTCAAAATTAATAGCTATTGAAAAATCCCAATAAATATTACACAATTCTCTGACAATCTAAACATGCATACCAAAGTACTTACAAACTACTAACATCAAACTCATAAATACATTACCAAATCCTATGTCAAACATTTTCAAAATTACAACCAAATATTTTGATGTTAAACATCTAACCAACAAGTCATTTACTAAAT